ACTCAAGACCTGTTTAAGGTGGCTAGACGATACAAGAGACAAGAGATAGCACAGTATAAGATCAAAGACTTTCATGATAAACTGATAGAAGGTACGTTTTATGGCAATGAGTTACAAAAGGTGGAGAAAAAGGAAAATGTTTTGTGGCAGGTAGAGAAGATTTTAAAGAGAAAACGTGTGAAAGGGAAGACCTACCTGTTAGTGAGGTGGTTGGGCTGGCCGAGTTCCTTCGATTCTTATGTGGAGGAAAGTGAACTGAAAGATATCTGATGGAAAGGTACATATTTCTCAAAAGCTCAGACTCCAAACAATCTTATTTTAATGAGAATACGCCTTATCATTTTCGTGTTAAACTAAATCAAAGGTTGAATTTTGATGGATTCTGGGTTGTGTCTTTAACGGAGATTAATTTTGGTAAACTTGACATCACCCACATGAATGATCCATATGTGGACGTGTTATGCAATCTGTGTGATAGTTCTTTGGCAGGTGAACAGCAGTTGCCTTTATTGAGACGGCTTGATCTCAGACAAGGTCCTTACTATAGCTTTGCCTGTGAATACAATATTCCGATTAAAGTCAAAGAATCTCCACACATAGAGGTGTGTGTATAAAGGCCAGTAACGGCATGTCACACTCATTTCTAAAGGAAGTGACATATGTGACACTGCACTTGAGACGGTATCCCTTCATTGATTAACCATGGAGTCCACACCTTTGTATGTCCCTGATTATGTCAAATGGACCCACTATTTCAAGAAACACATGAAAGGAACATCTGCCTTAGTGAATGGTAAACCACAGGTGAAAGTGATCCCGACACGACTTCAAGTGAAGACTGAAGAACCCAAGATCAAACTGGAAGTAACATCAGAGACACAGAATATTGTTGAGAGAGCCAATGCCAAAGAAAAGCGACGGAAATCTTTAAAACGAGCTGCAGGTGACCAAATCACCACTTCAAAGAAGATCCGTCAGACAGATAACATTCCATCAAAGACCGCTAAGGTTCTCCAGTGTACCCCTATTCGAGAAAACGACGTTTTCAGTTAATCATGTCACTGTTGAATGATAAAGACTTTGAGGAACTGATACCACCCTCTCTCAATCTGTTTATTTTACCTCCATACCAGACCAGCATCCATCAACATTATTTTGATGAGGTGCGTCCACTCAGTCAAATCAATGATTCTTCACCGTTGGAATTTCAAGTAACGAATGCTGGAAGTGATTACATTGACCTGAACCGTACCCGCATACATGTGAAGCTCAAGGTGAAACATGCAGATGGCACTGATCTTGATGACAAGGAACATATTGTCCCTGTCAACTTGTTTCTGCAGGCTCTCTTTTCCCAGGTGTCAGTGTATCTGCAGAATCAGTTGGTATCTTCTACAAACAACCATTATGCTTACAAGAGCATGATGAAAACTCTACTCAACTATGGAACAGAAGCTAAAACTTCACAGCTGTCATCTCAACTCTTCTACAAAGATGTGTCTGAATCTAACAATGATGTAGAATCGACTGATCCCTACACTGGTCTCAATACAGGAGTGCAATCTCGTGGTGGCTTCATTAATAATAGTAAAGTCTTGACCATGTCGGGGCCATTGTATGAAGATATCTTTCACATGAACAGACATTTAGTCAATGGAGTGGATTTGACAATGAAGCTGTACCGCTCCTCACCCCAGTTCTGTTTGATGAGTGGCAAAACAGGTCAAGATTACAAGGTGGAAATTCTGGATACCTACCTGAAGGTGTGTAAACTGAAAGTCAATCCAGCTCTTATTTTGGCACACAACACCTTGTTTCAAGACAGCAATGCTCTGTATCCTTATACCAAAAGCGAGGTCAAGGTGACAAGCATCCCCACCACTCAACTGACACATACCATTGACAATCTGTCGAATCCTATTGCTAATCGTTACATTGTAGGCTTTGTACTCAGCAACAGCTTGAATGGATCTTACACTGGTAACCCCTACAACTTCCAATCTAGTATGGTGAAAAACATCAGCCTGTACATCAATGGTGCCAGTGTCCCCGGACGTCCCATGCAGGCAGATGATGTTGAGTCCTATGTGCAGATGTTTGATGGGATGTGTCTGTGGAAAGAAAATACAGGAAACGGAATCACTCGGAGCGACTTTTTGCTCGGGAGTGCCCTGTTCGTCTTTGACATTGATAAAGTATGCAGTGAAACCGACTATCTGAATCTGTTGAAATCTGGTAGCACCCGATTAGAAATCGAGTTCAAAAACGCCCTCACTGAAACACTCAGTTGTGTTGTTCTGAGTGAAAGAAATTCCCTCATTGAAATTGACAAGACCAGGAACGTGTTTGTGAAGTAAAAAACATGAAAGCCTCTGACCTTGCATGTGCTATTCAAAGCGACTCCATCTTAAAGTACCAGGTCTTAGGTGTGTTTGCCAAAGATACTTTACCTGTGCTAACTAGAGTCATGCTTGCACGTGGAGTGGGTCTCATTGTCAATACTGAACCATCTGGAAGACTGGGTCGTCACTGGGTGGCTATGTACTTCAAAGGAAATACAGGGGAACTGTTTGACAGTCTGGGTGAGCCAGTGAATTCCGTTTTTGACTTGTTCTTAAAAACCTATGTCAATCAATACCAACACAACAGAAGACAGTTACAGTCCTCATCGTCCAACCTTTGTGGTCATTATTGTTTATATTATTTGTTGTATAAATGCAAAACAGAACTTACCCTTCAAACCTTTGTGCAGATATTTGATGTGCAAGTCCGTTTTAACAATGATGAGCATGTGTCAAAGTTTATCTGTAATTATTTTAGATATTGTCTGTTATCTTGTCATACCTATGTCATGTAACATACTACTGTACTTGTGTAACCCATTACAAAAAAAAAAAAAAAAAAAAAAAAAAAAAAAAAAAAAAAAAAAAAAAATAGTGTAGTCATTCGAGTTTGTTCTATAAATATAAGTAACTCAGCAGTAATGTCACAGTTGAATTATTGTGCTCAGAGTGAGATCATGGAACGTAAGTGTCTCTTACCAATACAAACACCTACCACCATATCTGTGATTGGTGGATCTTCCTCAGGGAAAGAGTTTGGGTGAAAAGGTTGTTAGAGCAGACTAATCTGATGTTTGACAAACCCCCCAACCTTATTGTGTACTGCTATGCTGTATGGCAAGACATCTACAGTGACATGCGGCAAAACATTTCTAACATTCTTTTTATGGATTCCCTTCCAACTGAGAATGATTTGAAAATGTGGTCTGAGCAATCTGAAAAGAACATGGTGTTGGTCATGGATGACATGATGATGGATATATGTAAAAGTCCACTGATGTTAAATCTCTACACTACATTGTCTCATCATTGGGGAATCAGTGTTATAAATATTCAACAGTCTGCTTATCCTAAGGGGGATTGTAACCGAACTATTTCCTTGAATACACACTACTTCATTTTGCTATCTAACCCACGTTCTGCACATGAATATAAAATCTTGGCATCTCAAATATTTCCGGGTCAAGCCAAATATTTTACTGAATCATTTTGTGATGCAGTGGAGGGAAAGAAATTTCAATATTTAATGATTGATGTATCACCCTATTTCGATCCTCAGTATGGGCGTTTGCGCAGTGGTGTCTTTCCAGATGAAGTATGTATTGTGTACCAACCCAAATAAAAGCTACTGCTGAAAGTTATACCCGCCAGTTACCTGTCTTACCAATGAACAGATCAGTTGCTTACTGAGATCATCATGGATGTTTGCGGACAATTTGAAGATATTGCTAACGATTGTTCAGTGATTTCAACCAATGCTGAAGTGTATGGTCATAGCTTTTGTGAGAGATTAAAGTCCTTTGTCAGTTGGCCCATGCAAATGAAACAGTCACTGAAGACTATGGCACAAGCAGGATTCATTTACACGGGTCAATCAGATAAAGTCTACTGTTTCATGTGTCGATTGCGTGTACATAAATGGATGCCAGAAGATGATCCACTAACTGAACATTTCAGGTTATCACCTCAGTGTAGTTACATAAACATGATAGCTTCTAATACTGAATGAGAGACATTGGCTATGGTGTATGAGGAATATTAGGGTCTAAGCATACATATATATAAAAGGCACAATTACCTAGATGGATCATTTCACATTGTGATCTCCTCACTTCAATATGGGTGATTTACTGGAAAAACATCTGTCTTTTCTTCAGACACTACTGCAGGCTAATGTGAAGCAGAGAAAAGCTTTACTTCAATATGTGTCATGTGAACAAATGCATGCTATTAATAGCATGATGTTAAACATTTTGAAAGGGAATATTCCACTCTCACTGATGGATAAAACTCGCTTGCACCGTCATAGGTTTCACATTAGAACATTGGCTGCCAAAGAAGGTTTTCCCAATCGGATTAAAAAGGAGGTGTTGATAAGACATCATTCCATCTTGCCTATTTGCATTGCTGCACTGTTAGATTACCTACATCATGAGCAGACCTATGGTTCTCCTGAACAGGAACACATACCAACGTCTAATAGACAACCAGGAAAAGGAGAAGACAGTGACACAGGAACAACAGATAATGACAGTGACTCCAGATCAGGAGACGAGTCCTCTGAGACTGAATGAGACCCCTGAAGAAATCACCCATGATGAAGCACAGATTAAAGCGAATACGAACTTGATTCTGGATCTACTTCTTAAGGATGTGTCATTAACTAAAACGATTGGCAAACTTGCCAAACTATGGTACTTTATCAGGGATCAGATCAGAAATGCTCACTTCAGACTGAATAATCAGTTAGAAATTGTTTTAGATAATGAGAATGTGTGGATCGGAACTAACGTTATTGACCTCATTCGTTTTACTGTGATGCATCGTGGGGCTGTTCCTTCAGGCTACCGTGACTTTCTCAATCTTTTAAAAATGCTCCATGTACCGAAGCGGCTTTTGTATAAGCCAGATGTCAAGAAAAAGAACGACAAAAGAAAAAAGGCAAAATCATCTTTATATCTAAAACGACAAGCACAACATGGTGTACCCGGTGCTAACACTACTGCAAAATTAAGAAAACTAGAGTCTTTCTAACTGTACATGTACATTGAATTCATGACATGTATTCTATGTAACTTTCAGATTGTAAAGCAATAAAATAATGCTAACACATGCGACTTTTAGTTATTACTATCTTCCATGTTCATGAGGACTCTGAGCTGCATCTCAAGTCTTTCTTTTCTGTCATTGCAGAAGAAATGACTATGCATATAATCCGAGTCATTGTAATGCACAGTGTGCTGGTCCTGAAACTCTAGCCCAAGGCTTACCCTCTGTTGCTTGGCTTTTTCCAAGATGGTATGAAGGGGAAGCTCATTCACTGCACGATCAAAGTATTGAGTAATACACTCGTCACTGTTCATCATGAGACACTGGTGATGTACTTGCGATGGATGATTAACTTCACATCCATAACAATTATCACAACATAACTTCCGAACAAGTCTCTGGAGTTCATTGAGATAGTGAGTTTCCAAGACGCCTACGAAAAGTCTTTTGTTTCGACGCAGCTGTAAGCGATTGGTTATTTGTCTCCTGTTGATGTGAATTTCACACACAGTTACTGAATAGTTGGGTGTTTGATGATTCTCGTCTTGATGGAACATTCTTCTTGCACGCTGTAAACCTGCCTGCATGGCATCCTCATGGCTTCTTCGGAAGCTTCTGCCTTCATAATACACTATGTCATTGCCGCCGTTTCGTCTTAACTGGTAAATGAATCCGGTGGTACTCATGTTGCTGTAATCATAAAGATAATTAAATGAGTGAAACACTTTAAGTGTGATGATAACAGCAATTATTACTATTGATATTAGAATTATTATTGTTAAATTAAAATGGATAACGTTCAGTACAAAAGGAGGAGGGTACCTGTATCAATCACCCATCTCTGAAATGTGGAACTTGAACAGCATTACCACATACTCTAAGACTGGTGAATACCCATAGGGTAAACTATATATACCATCCTCTAGTACAAAACGTTTATCATCTAAGGGGGATAATGCTATTTTGCTCAATGACTCAGTGTATAAAGTGTTATTGTGAGAGCGAATGAGTGAATAGGAACAATAAAAAGGTTTCCTCTCCAGGAGACTGTCTTTGTATTTCTTATGGGTCAATTGCTTGGCAATGACAGATTTCTTTATTCCTTTAGCTGTCTTTTGGTTTGATACAGTGTTCTCATCTGATTGTATCAAAAAGGAATACATTTTGCTTTTCAACCCTACAAACTCTAAAATGATCTTTCCTGCAGCTTCATCCTTCATCTTTCCTGTGACTTTTTTGTTTTCATTCGAATACAATCCTTTAGGATCGTTCTGATCATAATTGGAAGTATCAAACAAATGCAGATTTTGCTTCATGAATATGTAGGGATCAAGCAAAGTCTCGTGTGGAGGGGCATGAATGTGCAAAAAGAGACTGTCTGTGTCTGTCATGAGCAAGTCCAATCGTTCTGGTCCATATTGCCGTTGCATGACGTCATAATAGAAAGAAAGGATTTGAAATTTGGCTATATCCAAAATACTGAAACCAACAGCGATAGGTTGATCTAAAAGGACAGACACTTGCTCCATTTCAGCGGACACAACATCTTCTGAAAACACTTTCACCTGCTTGAAATTGGTTTTAGCTACATAACTGCGAAATTGCTGTCTGTGAGTCACTAAGTGCACAGATTTCCGCTTGCGTTTATTCATACAGAACCTGCCAAACACACAATTATTCATAAGTTTATATCGGTCCTTGTCACAGGCGTCAGTTGCGTGTTTGCGTCTTTCCAAATTTAACTGAACATAGGGTTTCAACCAGGGACCTTGCTTGAACTTTAACACTCTATGAATGTGTTGGAGGACTAGCCCATGTCTCAAATACAGCTGCAAAGTTTTGAAATGAACAACATAGTTCAAGCGATCTTTTAAAGTAGCAAACAATTTCTTGCCTGAGGGTTTTTGACACTGGGAGGTATAGAACTGGCTGAGTAACTCTTTGTGATAAGGTGAAAAGTCCTCAAAGGGAATGTTGTCATGGGTAGGAGCCATGGGGAAAGCCGCATGAAGTTTGTGTAAATGATTAGGATAGTGCAAGTCCACTTCCAAAATGTAACCTGTATCCCCTTGGGTATCTATTGTAACCCAATCAATAGTTTCATAATCTTGTGCTGTCATGAACTGATAGTTACCAATAGGCAGGGGTTCCAGCATAACTCCAGAATAAAGACTGTTAAAGTCCATGTACAGAAGCACCGAGGCTTCTTTTTCTGGGTTATAATTAGTCATGTATTCATTGTTGCTTTCGGCAAATTTCTTACCGATGACGGTCACGCCACCCCGAATGGAATTTTCCACAAAATTGTAACTATCTACATCAGTGAAGAGATCAAGCTTGACTCCGGTGACTTTCAGTGCTGCATCAATACAAAACCCAGGCATGGAATAGTAGTGACAGATGTCAAGTCCATAATCTAGTAAACATCCAGTTCTGAATGTTTCTACAATATCAGCCAACAACAGTGTGTCTACAACCACATACAACCGGGTAAAGTCAGACATTGAGTTGCATGCGAATGTATGCCACAATTCATGGGCAAAGTCATAGTCTTCATCAGTAATGCCTTCATCACTCAAGGAACTGTAGAAGGATTCTTTAGGTGGCAACTGTGTGTCATTTAATTTTTCCCATGAATCCATGTACTCATAAGGAAAAGGAAGCTTTCGAGTCATTACACCAACATGCTGCGGGAACTGCTCTTTCAAGAAAACAAATGTGTCTAATCCTTTATTCATCTGATTCTTAGTCAGAGCATCTAAAGAGCTTTGCAAAAATTTGCAAGAAACTAGGAAGACCAGATCATTGTCCACAGTAAAAGACAGAAACTGTTCAGAATTATGGGGTATAATCTAATACTTCTCTCTCCAAATTCACGCGCTGCTTCAAAAATAAGATGCGTATCATAACGCTCTGAATTGTGCAACATCAGATACACTTTCTTTTGCGACTGGAAATTTAGGTTACACTTGTTGTGTAATACTTGTCTAAAAGCACCACTGAGATGGTCATGATCTAACACCCTGTCTTTCCCTAACTCTTTTCCACATAATCCACACTGAGTTGTGTTTGCTATGGTTGCCCTATCCTGATGAGATAATTGCATGGGAACAACATTGGCAAAAATCTCCTTAATTTCATCATATTCTCTTAAAATGTCTTGAATAAAGTGTTCTGCTGCATCTGAACCTACATAGGTTTGAACAGATTTTGAATATCGCTGCTCCGAACAAATAACTTTGTAAGCATAGGCACAAGGAACATGTCTGTTCAAACGCGATGCATGATTTTTGACTGGTAGCAGCAAACTTTCAAAATCGGCCACAATAAGAAATTTAGCTCTTTCTGTTTTAGCTTCAGATCGTAATCCAAACTGATAGACTGCTTTCTCGGGTTTAGGCATCTTGACACGTTGGGCCTTAACAAAACAATACCCCTTGTGCTTATTCAACCTTTCTTGTGAGCTGTATGTCCACAAACATTTTCTGCAAATATAATACTGGTTACTACGTTTTTTCTCAGGGTTTTTGACAAAAAATTTCAACTTAGTGATCAAACAAAAATGGGTGTCTGCTTTCGTTTCTACATCCATAAGTTCATGACCCTCTAAGCCTAAGAATCCATCGAAATCTTCGGGCTCGTTCTCTTGTGAAAGCATCAACAAATCAATTTGACTGTCTGGTTCTATGTTGGATACGTTGCTTATGTAAAGTGGATAGAGAGTCTTATCTTCGAAGCCATACACATTGATACTCAACTGATTGACTTGTTCAAATCGTGGGATTTGTTTGAGAGTCATCGGAAAGTAAACCCATCCAAATTCAATCTGTTCACAAAAGGTTGATAATGCTTCACCCGTGTTGGATGATGTGGAGCAGGAAACAGTTTGGCTAAAATGCTATAGATAAAACACATCTCATCATTGTTTTCTACATTCACAACGCTTTTAGTTTTGTATGCAATTTCTTTAGGAAGAGGGATGTATGTACCGCCTTTAAAAGGTTTAAATTTAACGATGATCACTTTCATCATTGCAATGTCTACCACGTTTAAATTAGAATGCTCACCCTGATAATTATCTAGTGAACGCAATATCTTGTGCATGGCTTCAAGGTATTGATCAGTCAAATTGGTTCCTTGTGTAGCTATGACCATTGTGCTTCGAAAGTAGGCCTCATGAATATTAGCTGTTTCATCTTCAGTAGGTTTAACCATTCTGATGTGAAGGCACAATCCCCATTTCACTGACTGTTTCTCTCTGAGTTCTGCCTTAATCGCATCAATAATGACAGCTTGTTCATTCACCATAAAATGCAAAGCATCTGTAGCACCCTGCCCTTTAAACTCATACTCTCTCACATCTCCCCCTAAAGATTCGCTGGTACATGGGTGAGCATGATCAGAAGTGTCACCAACAGGTTCAGGATTGTAAGGAGTAGCCGGTGGGGAGGGAATGGGAGGCAAAGAAGGGTTGGATGGATGTGCAGATACTGTAGCCGTTTTTTTCCTACTTAACTTGCCTTTGCTACCACCCCACATATCATGTCCTGTTCTATTCTTATGCAGTCGCAAAGCTTTTGAAGTTGGAAACATTGTCTGACAAGACTGACAGGATACATCATTTTGTGAAATCTCGTTTATGAAGTAGGGATTGGGATAAGAAGGTGAAACATCAGGGGAGGGGATGGGCGGTGGAGGGGGGTAGGAGGAAGGAATGGGAGGTGGTGATGAGGTGGAAGGAGAATCATATTGTGAAGTCGTGTTTAGACAACAATGTGGTAAGTGTGATTGAAAAGCAAGTTCATGGGTAAAGTGTTGAAAGCACAGTGAACATTGACAAACCAAAGGATTGACTACTTTTTGACAGCTTTTCACATGACGTTTTAAACTATCTTTTCTGGAAAAATATTTGCTACAATACTGACATGAAAATTGTCCCCCAACTTTCCCACATATTTGTTGATGCCTTGTTAAATTTCTTTTATAACCAAAACAAGTGTGACAATTTTCACAGTAGGAGTCTCTGCTCGTGGTGTACATAGTCATAAAATAGGTATTCACCAACTAAGTGTGTATGAGTTGGAAGTTACCTGAAAACAAACAAAACGAACATCAACTAAGCATTAAACTAAAATGGTTACTAACAGTTTTAAGTAATATATCGTGATAATAAGTTTTAAATAATACATCAAGTGTATAAGTTTTAAATTAATCTAACAAATGTATAAGTGTAAGTATGCAGTAAAAGTGGAGTACTTGCTCTTTTGCTGGAGATTCCTATCCTAAGGATGCGCGTTAATGGTTAACGTTTCCTGTAGACTTTTGGATGATGTTGCCTTGGCAATTTCTCAGACGAAAATGGTGAAAAATATAAAAGTGGATGGACTTCTTATTCCAAACTATACATTTTGGAGCTCTATAGAAATATAAGTTCAAACTTTAGTACAAACAGCTGCACACAATGAACATGAGTGGTTTGGCTGCTATTCAAATCAGTTTCAGGTTGCTTCATGTATAATAGGGTAGGACTAAGAACTGCTGAATCACCTTGACCGAGTACACAAACTATACAAAAAATTTGTTGTTGTTGTTGTTTAGAAATGTTTACTGAGATGGTACTGAAAACGTGACAGTTTAAAAGCACTGGTGTTCCTTTATGAAAGACTACATAAAATGAACTGCTGAATCACCTTGACTGAGTACACAACCTATACAATTTATTGTTGTTGAGTGTTTACCATGGGATGGTGCTGAAAACGTGACACTTTAAAAGAACAGGTGTTCCTTTATGAAAGATTGCATAAATGGATACACTTAATGAAAGAGCTGTATAGAGAGTGTGTTACTAAAAACTCGATATTGATTAAAAATGAGAGATTGTCTA